CAGAGGCTTAAGAATTGTCATGGAAAACAAGAACACTATATGCTTTTACATAATACATATTTCAGACATGAAAAAGTGAGATCGCAGAAAAATCAAGGAATCGGGCAAGGTCTCTAAGCATCTTTTCTATGTCACACGGAGGCTGGATTGATTCATTTCAGCCTCTGTGAGTTTGAATACAGCCTGATAAACCTGGCCCGGGCCTCAGAGCCTCAGGCCTGAACACAGTTGCATTCTGCGAATGGCACTCTTTCACTCTTACACACGCTGTCGTGGAAATTCCCCCTCTTTCAGCAGTCTTAACACTTGCAAGTCACATAGTTGCTGTTAAGGAGAATGTATTCCCTTTCTGTTCCTGTCCTCTGAGTCCTTTTTTTTTTCAATTAAAGTATATAATCTTCTCTGGTGCTAGAAGTGCTCAGTAATGACACGGCATCCGTTGGCCACTAGTTGCTGTTATAGCACAAAAAGTATTCACATCTTAGAATGAAGAGATCTGTGGCTTCTGGAACCATCTGTTTTCTGGCTAGTGTGCAGCTGCCTTGTAAAAGCCCTGGAGCAGCCCCGTTTGGAGACCCCCATACCCGATCCCTGTGTCGCCCCAGAGCTGGTGTAGGAGACACAGGCTGCCCCAGTCACCACTCCATCAGTCACCAGCCCTGCAAGGCCTGAAACCCCGGAGTCTTTCTAGCATTGTCCTGGCCAGTAAACCCTCCCTTGCTGGATTAGAGCTGTGATCTTAATATATGGGGTGTTGACTTTAAAAGGTAACAAAAATGAGGCAGAAAATGCAATAAACTTTTAGAGCATCTATAACGATATTTTACAAGTAAACTCTTCAATAAAAGAAACCAACTGACTTAAAAAAAAAAAAAGACTACCATAAATGGTACAGGAGAAACTGCTAAAAAAAAGAAGAGGGCAGCAGACACCCTCTAATGTAGGTTCTGAACTAATGTCAGTAACCAACTTTGTTTTTCCATAAATAACAGGACTAAAGGTAGTATTTCTCATTTGATAACATTTTTAACAGTTTCAAAGAACTTTCATAGAATGGGACTTGTCTTGTCAGGGTTGGCTTCCCAGATCTAGAATCATCATCACATGGAAGCAACTCATCTGTAGAGGATTAATTGCTATGTGGTTATTTAAGGCAGTTTTTTTCTTTTTTTTTTTTTTTGAAACAGTCTTACTCTGTCACCTCTGGTAGAGTGGAGTGGTGTCATCATAGCTCACTGCAACTTTGAACTCCTGAGTTCAAGCAATCCTCCTGTGGAACTACAGGTGCTTGCCACTAACACCTGGCTAATTTTTCTAATTTTAGTAGAGATGGGATCTCGCTCTTGCTGAGGCTGGTCTCAAACTCCTGAGCTCAAGTGATCCTCCCACCTAGGGCTCCCAGAGTACAAGGATTACAGGGATGAGCCACTGTGCCTGGCCTAGTTAAGGCAGTTTTAGTTTTAATTCCACATTTACTATCTCTCTCTCTCTCTCTCTCTCTTTTTTTTTTTTTTTGGTATCTTATTCCCCTGCTATCTACCCAACTGCAAATAAGCCTCTGTTACCAGATTGTGTACAATGGAAGTCTCAGGGAGGGCAAATTAATTTAAATTAGCCGAAACCCAACATAAAAATAGTAAATCTGTTCAAATGACCTATCATACCTTTACTGGGCCAGCTCCCCTTCTCACCCCCAACACTGAACATGGCTTACCCGTTTCTCCTTTTCTTCCTCACAGCCACTTCCCCAGTGAGAGGTTCCTAATGGGTTTCCGTCTGGGCTGCACCACTGTGAGTGTAAATCACCCTCAGCCATTTTGTCTCTGCTCCAAAACTTCCTACGATGCCTGCCTGCCTTTTAAGGCAGCACACGTGGTCCCTCTGGCCTATCTAGTTTTAGATCTCTTGAAGCTCTTGTAGTCTTGCCCAAGCTCAACTGCCCTACTCCCCAGTCTTTGATGCTGTACTGCCTGTTCTGGAAATTCTCTTCTGATCCCTCTAATCTCCCTCCTATAACATGCACCCTCATTTCTATGCTACCAACATTTTCCTCAAGAACACCCTCAAATGCTATTCAAGTCAAAGACTTTCATTTACAGCTGGGGTTGTGCCTGACACTCTTACGGCCTTTGGTTCACTCCCTTTAATGGCACTTACCACACACTGCTTGTCACTGGGGTTATTTTTGAAAGATCTCCTCTCCTCTACTAGATTGTATGAGGACAGGAACCTGGTCTTATGTACCTTATTTTTCTCTGAGGGCAGGAACTGTTAGACATCTAGGCCACCTGCCTGGCTGCCTCCTTCCTGTGGGCTTACTTTCCCCTTCAGGAGGGGAGGGCTGTGTGTTAGCTATGGTGACGCCACTGCACTCTACCCAGGAGACAGAGTGAGACTCTGTCTCAAAAAAAAATGTGTGAGGGTGTGTGGGGTCGAGTGAAAAACATAGTGTTCAGGACATTGTATCTTGTTCCAGGAACAATTAAGAAGATGCCTGGGTACCTAAAGTGGAGTACGCATCTGGACTTCTCCTTTCGCTTCTACTATCACCCTTCTCTGGCTGCTTGTCTCCCTGAAAAGGCAAGAAGCTCAGTGTGGAGTGCTTATGGAATCTTGCCGTGGGCCAGATGATTCTGGCGTTCGGGTTGTTTAAGGCGATTATTAATGACTAGACCACAACGTCCAGTCCCAAGGTATTAGTGCAGCTGGAAATCCCTGTAGGGCCGCCGGGGCAGGAGCCCCAATACCACGTTTGGGCAGCTGACTCGCCTAAGGTCTTCAGCTCAATTGTAGGGGTTAAAATGAGAAAACCTAGGTAACAGGGCTTCTTGCATCTGGCCTGCGTTTATTTAGGACCAGAATAACCCCGAAGGCAGAGTGAGGTGTACGAACGGTCATGGGGCCTAATGTCTGATTCCCGACATTGCCCGGCAGGACAGAACTTCGGAGTTGTGGCGGGCGCCACCCAGGGCAGAGGAAGGTGTGCACGACAGCCACAGGACAGTCGGGCTGGGGTGAGCGGGTGCAAAGCGCGGGTGGCAGGGCGGGAGGAAATGGCGGCTCCTCCTCCCCGCCCGCCAGTCTACGGTCGGCCTCCCTCTCCACCGCGCACGGGGAGGAGAGCTGCTGTGCGTGGGGGCAGGGAGTAAAGGCGAGACTGGCAGGCGCTCGAGGTAGCCGTGCGAGGAGAGGTGGGGCGCGCGCACAGGCGTGCGTGCGTGCGTGCGTGCGTGTGTGCGTAGGCGCGGCCCATAGCCGGCTGTGCGCGGGGCGGATGTCCGGGCCGGCTGGGTCTGGGCGGTGGACGAGATGGCCGAAGGTAGAGACTGTGGAGAGCGACCAGATGCGGAGACCCAGAAGTCCGAGGTCGGGGCCTTGATGAGGACCACGCTCCAGCGGGGAGCGCAGTGGTGAGCAGCGGGCCCGCTACTCCGACGCGCGGTGCTGGGGGCCGGGGCTCTGGCCCTAAGGCCAGGCCCCTTTTTCTCGGAGCCGGCGGGGGCGGTGTCTGGTGACTCTGAAAGAGTGGCTTGACACCTGCCCTGCAGGAGAGGAATCTCAGGATCAGCTCTGGGAAAGCACGGTGGGGCTTGGGGTCGTCACCGCCCATTCAGAGCCCCAGGAGGCCGGCCTGGCGGGGCCTAGGGCTGCAGGATGTGGAGAAGGGGAGTGAGGGTGGGGAGAGCCCTGTACAACTTAGGATTCACTTTGTGCCCTTGGGCGAAGATGTCCACACTTCACAGACCTCGGTTCCTTACTGTTAAAAGCATGGTAGCTCACCGCCCTCAGTGGGTTGAAGTGAAGATCAGAAATACATACTTTGTAACTTGTAAACTGCTGAACAGATGTCAAGGTCAGAAGCTGAACAAATGTCTGAAAGCCTTAGATTATTTTGGTAGCAAGTGTCAAAAATATTTGTGGCAGCAGTTTCTCAGAGTGGGAGAGGAGGATAGCCTAAATCCTGGAGGTAGAAGATTTAAAAGTCCTGGATTTGGAATAGCAAGGCTGAGATACGAGGCTTGTTAATAAATTGTTTAGTAGAAGGGACAATACATTCCACTAGTAGAGAGATTCACTATTGTGTGGGAGTAGAAAACTAGGCTTAGGCTTTACATTGAATATGATTGAGCGATATCCGTCTTTAAGGAACCTTTGTGGTGTTGATCTGCAGAGTAATTGAACAGGAAAGAGAAACACTGGTGTTAGGAGGAGTTCAGTTATGGCTTTATGGTGTTCATCTTGAGGAAGCCAAGCTGTGAAAGACAGGGCAAGCAGAGGTACTTTTGCAGTTATCTTGCCTAGGGGTAACAAAGAATACTCAGCAGAAGCAGAGGAAGTTTAAGGTAGACTAAAATCACACAGTGAAATTGTATGGAAAGTATTCCTCAAGGGATTAGAGAGAAGATAGCATTTTATTGATTTGGATGTATTTATAGATTCCTGTGGCCTCTGGGAATCTGCCTGATCTCCTCTCATATTTGTTGGTTATAAAATTTGGACTAACCAGTATGATCGTTGTCCTTTGTTGCCCCAGAGAGATTTTCCCCTCCTTCTGTCTTAATGGTGAAACAGCTGAGTGATAACTTTTAAAATGTAATCCGATTTGCTTATATTTAAGTGTAAAAAGCAATAAGTTGAATGTGAAGCACAACTTAATGCTTTTTGACAAGATGAACATACCTAGGCACTATTGTTTGTATATTTGTGTGTATATATATGTACATCTCATTTGGTCCTCAAAGAAAAACTGAAACAGTTGGTGTTACTATCCCATTTTCAGAAAGAAAATTAGTTTAGTAATGATCATGTCAAGCAAAGCAATATAACCAAACTGTCTGCCTGGACAAGGACCTACCTCTATAAAGACCATCATGAAATTAACGACTTGTTCATTAGCAAACATGATTTTACCCACAGAAAGACTCCATTTAAGTAAGCATTTTGAAACCAGTTATTTTCTTCCTTTTATTTATTCACTGTTTCAACAATCATTTCACTTAATGGATGCCTGCCCTGGGCCAGGCCCTCTGTGCCATGTAGGGCCTGGCCCCTGCTCCTGCTCTAGTGAGTGTGTTTTTACGAGGATTATGTGTTCCCCAAGTGGAAAGACCATAAAAAAGATTAAGGGAGAAGCTACAGAAACTTTTTTTTTAAGGGTCAGGGTGTTGCTATGTTGCCTAGGGCTGGTCTCAAACTCCTGGGCTCAATCTATCCTCCTGCCTCAGCCTCCTGAGTAGCTGGGACTACAGGTGTGAGTCATTGCACCTGGCTAGAAACTTATAACCTCAGTTTTTTTTGCTATAGTAAATTTTTGTCTCTCTCTAGGTATCTTATTGACAGCCGATGGTTCAAGCAGTGGAAGAAATACGTGGGCTTTGACAGCTGGGATATGTACAATGTGGGTGAACATAACCTGTTTCCTGGCCCTATAGACAACTCTGGACTCTTTTCAGGTGCAGTAAATGTTGCTTTTCTAGCTAAATGTTCACCTGGATAGTGGCCTCAGGTCATGTGTATTTATAACATGGACATTGTGAGCCTGACTTTCCTTGTGTGAGGAAGTAGCCAAGCATCCTCAATTTGCATCTGTAGCAGAAGACTTTGCAGACTCTTAGGGAACAGTTAAGCTGCTTTTTTCTGAAATTAACTGCTTCTGACAAGAGCATGCTTCTAACATTTTAAATTTCTTTCTTTGCAAATTAGTTGTAGAGATTTCAGATTTTAGATGAATATATGGAATGAAAAGCAATAGGATATCATTTTGAAATTGCATCTGAAATTTGGGAACCAGAATGTTTTTTTCGAGACAGAGTCTCCCTTTGTTGCCCCAGGTAGGGTGCAGTGGCGTCATCATAGCTCGCTGTAACCTCAAACTCCTGAGCCAAATGATCCTCCTGCCTCAGCCTCCTGAGTAGCTAGGACTATAGGCCTTGATGCCCAGCTAATTTTTCTATTTTTAGTAGAGATGTTTTTGCTCAGGTTGGCCTTGAACTTCTGAGCTCAAGCAGTCCTCCCACCTTGGCCTTCCAGAGTGCTAGGATTACAGTCAAGAGCCACTGCACCTGGCCCTTTTTTTTTTTTTTTTTGGAGACAGATTCTGCCCAGGCTATAGTACAGTGGCGGGATTCATAGCTCACTGGGGCCTCAAACTCCTGGGATCGAGCGATCCTCCTGCCTCAGTGTCCTGAGTTGCTGGGACTATAGGCACATGTCACCACACCGCCTAATTTTTTTTTTTTTTTTGTATTTTTTGTAGAAATGGGGTCTCAATATATTGCCCAGGCTGGTCTCGAACTTCTGATCTCAAGTGATCCTCCTGCCTTAACCTCCTAAGTGCTGAGATTATAGGTGTGAGCCACCATGCCCAGACTTTTTTTTTATTCTTTCAACTCTAATCCCATGACATTACCAGTATCTTTTTTTTTTTTTTTAATTTTTTTTTGAGACAAAGTCTCACTCTCTTGCCTGGGCTAGAGTGCCGTGGTGTCAGCTAGCTCACAGCAACCTCAAACTCCTGGGCTCAAGCGATCCTCCTGTCTCAGCCTCCTGGGTAGCTAGGACTACAGGCACGTACCGCTGTGCTGACTAATTTTCTCTATTTTTAGTCTTTTGGCCAATTTTTCTCTATTTTTAGTAGAGACGGGGTCTCGCTCTTGCTCAGGCTGGTCTCGAACTCCTGAGCTCAAGAGATCCTCCCGTCTCGGCCTCCCAGAATGCTAGGATTACAGGCCTGAGCCACCGCGCCTGGCCTACCAGTCTTTTGTTACCTACACAGTGGGATAAATTTTAGACCTGTCAGTGTTCATCAAGAATTCCTATGATGGCTATGTTTATAATAGAAGTAGTGTAAGGAGAGGTGGAAGGTCAGTAGACAAGAGTTATGACCACAGTTAGCTCCCAGTGTTAACTGTGGGGAAAGTGATAATGTGACACACCAAAGCTTGGCTTGTACACCTCGAGGAACTGAGATGACAGCTTTTCCCAGGCTTTGTTCTGCCTGACTTTAGATTTCCTTATAGTTAGGACAGTGGTGATTTGTTAAATGTGTCCAGAATCAGGGCAGCAGGAAGGCAAAAAAGGTATGAGACTTGATCCATGTACCAAACACTAACCTGGATATTTTTAAAAATGAGCAGTGTTTCAGCTCAGACTTTGTTGTAGGAGTGGTATAAAATGTCTAAATGACATAAACAATGTCATTTGCTTTGTTTCCTGATGTAGGTTGGATGGTGGCACTATATAATGAAGTTGCCCCAAGGAATCATTACATCATGTTCACAATTTGTCATTTATCCTCTTTTTTTGAAATGGAGAATTCTGAAGGTTTTAAATCTAGACATACTTCATTTTATTGTGCTTCACTTTATTGCGCATTGCAGCTACTGTGCTTTTACAAAATGGTTTGTGGCAACCCTGCATCAAGCAAGTCTGTCAGCACCATTTTTCCAATAGCCTGTGCTCACTTTTTGTGTCACATTTTGCTAATTTTCATACTATTTCAGACTTTTTCATTATTAATATGTCTATTATGGTGATCTGTGATCAGTGTTTTTTGATGTTTATTATTGTTACGGTTTTGGGGTACTGTGAACCATGCCTGTATAAGACGATATACTTAACTGATAAATATTTGTGTTCTGACTGCCCCACCAACCAGCTGTTCCCCTTGTCTCTCGCCTCCTTGAGCCTCACTATTCCCTGAGACAATGATACTGCAATTAGGCCAATGAATAACTCTACAGTGGTCTCTGAGTGTTCAAGTAAAAGGAAGAGTCACGTATCTCTCACTTTAAATCAAAAGCTAGAAATGATTAAGCTTAGTGAGGAAGGCATCTCAAAAGCTGAGACAGGCTGAAAGCTAGGCCTCTTGAGCCAGTTAGCCAAATTGTGAATGCAAAGGAAACGTTCTTGAAGGAAATAAAAGGTGTTAACTCCAGTGAGTACATGAATGATAAGGAAGCGAAACAGCCTTATTGCTGTTTGTTGTTGTTTTATTTAAGAAATTACCACAGCCACCCCAACCTTCATCAACCACCACACTGATCTGATCAGTCAGCAACCATCAACATCAAGGCAAGACCCTCCACCAGCAAAAAGATTATGACTCACTGAAGACTCAAATGATCATTAGCATTTTTAAGCAATAAATACATATTAATAATTAAGGTATGTACATTGCTGTGTTTTTGTTTTTTGTTTTTGCTTTTTTTTTTGGTGAGACAGGTTCTCTGGCTCTGTTCCCCAGGCCAAAGTGCAGTGTCATGATCATGGCTCACTGCAACCTCAAATTCCTAGGCTCATGCGATCCTCTTTGCTCAGCCTATGGAGTAGCTAAGACCACAGGCACACACTACCGCGCCAGACTAATTTTAAACATTTTTGTAGAGATGAGGATCTCTCTGTGTTGCTCAGGCTGGTCTCAAACTTGTGGCCTCAAGTGATCCCCTGACTCGGCCTCTCACAGTGCTGAGATTACGAGTGTGAGCCACTGTGCCTGGCCTGATTCGTTTTTTTAGACATAATGCTATTGCACTCTTAATAGACTATAGTGTAAACATAACTTTTATATGCACTAGGAAACAAAGAAATTTGTGTGAATTGCTTTATTGGAATATTTGCTTTATTTTGGTAGACTGGAGCTGAACCTGCAGTATCTCTGAGGCATGCCTGTAGTAATATTAATAGTAATAAAAATCCTCCAGCTGGACTCTGAGGTCTTTTTGCATAATGTTCAGCTAAGGGCAGGCATTCCTTCTGTGGTCCCCCAATTTCATGTCACTGGGCTTTGGCTTGAAATGTCAGCTGTGTGCTTGGGAAGTGAGAAGCATATTCAGACAGTAGAACATTGGCAGTGCAGGAATGACCAGTCTCTAGCAAATGAAGTTCACCCCAATAATTTTTTTTTTACAAGTGTGAAACGAAGTTTATTGAGGCAGGGCAAGATAGGTTTACAGAGCGAGAGCAAGATACATTTGCCGCAGATGAGAACAGACCCCCTGTCATAACAAGGGGCCTCACCCAATTATTCTTAGGCTGTCAGTCATCTGCCAGTCTCAGCCTGGCTGCCTTATGCCTAAGATCATGAGAATGCATTGGAAAAGACTCTTGAAACTATGGGAAGGAGAGGGAAGAACATATCCTTGCTGATGCTTTCTGCAGACCACCCTTTCTCTGATTTCCACCCATGCCCCTACTGTATATCAGGTGGAGTCCTTGTGGCACAGAAAACTGTGCTCTCATTTTCCTCCTTATTTGCCTCTTTGTTGAAGGCATTTGTAGAGGGTACATCCTCATTTCATAACCTCTGTTTGATTTTTATCATGATGTTCTTCGACTGATCCAGTTTTGAGTGAAAATAGTGAACTTCATTGAAAACTCCATTAAATTTCCAGTACTTGCCATATACTGTCATAAGAATGACATGTTTTGGCCGGGCACGGTGGCTCACGCCTGTAATCCCAGCTCTCTGGGAGGCCGAGGCGGGTGGATTGTTTGAGCTCAGGAGTTCGAAACCAGCC